CCAAAATTGTTTTCCATGTGTAGTAATGTTCAAATTCGTAAAAGAAATTTCACTAGTATTTAGCTTTTTCAACGCATTTCACGTTGAATATCCTGTGTTATATCAAACTTTGTTTACGTGTATGCATTCTAAATCCAACAACAAAATACACACAGCTTGCTGCTCTTACCTGTCCAATGTGCCTCGCCGTGAATTCAATTTTCAAATTTTGTGAGAGAAGAAGCTCATTAGACGAAACTGCGCCAAATAAATTATTGCTGATTGTAAGAAGGATTGTATCTTCAACATAAGAAACTCCAAATGAGAAGGCAACCAGAAACAATTTAATAAAAGCAAAGAAGTTCTTAAAGTTTGGAAGGGGAGTGGATCTCTTCAAAGGTACGCTTTGCAATTCAGCTCGTTTCGGATTCTATTCATAGCATTGTGCTTTTCCGAGAATAATCCGTTGAATAACACTCGTGCTTCAAAAGTAGGATATTTTCATCATGTTTCCCTGCCTAGCAATGTGTGTAACAAATTCTGCTGGCTAAAAATCACGAGCACAAAAAAACAAAGTTATAGTTTATAGTTTTAGTTAAAATATATTCCAAACAAAGATGCTGTTTCGGTGCTAATAAATTGAGCATCATTAAAAAAGTTTTTTTTAAATGCTCTAGCTTTTGTGGAAAAAAGTGGCAAAAATATTTTTTTGTCCCGTATTCGGGTGCCATAAATATGGTCACCGTCATTATAGTGCACAGCCAATGCGGAAGTTGAAATTTCTGTTATGGTAGTATCAAAATGTGCCCCGAAGTGACAATACAAGATCCGTAAAAAAAGTGCTCCTCGGCAGGGAATGCATATTTTATGAAAATACTTAACCAAATATCTGTCGCAAAACCTAACAAAATATGTTTTTCATCGTTAGCATTGCTACAATAATCGAAAAGAATATGGCAAATTTTTCGATAGAAATCGTCCAGAAATTCTTTTAGAATGCAAGATTCGTTCAACGTATCGCAAGGTTGCCCACACAAAAATAAAAATCGTCATGATGAACACGTGGTCATCTCGAGATTATGGTGTCCTGAATTTTAGGCCAGATCTTTTCCCACCTGACCATTGTCAAAATTTCGGCATTCAATATTTGTCGCCCACGGTTGGTATTCATTGGAAATATTTACATCAGTGGTTGAAACAGGCAGTTTTTACAATGTCTAAAATAGGTTTAGGTATATTCCCCACAAATAACACAAAAACTGTCTGGACCAATCGCATAACGTCTGCTTTTCGTTGCCGCGGTATTATTTACGTGGAAATCTCTACATCTGAATTAATTACTCGTACACAAAAAAATTAATTTGAAGAAATGTTAAAAATTAAAATATCTGAAAAAGTACATCTGCTAAGAAGAAATTAATATGGATTATGAAATTACCGTATCAACATTATTGGAATTGGCAGCAATATTTTAGAAAATTTTATATAGTTGTAAATTGTTCACCAGTGTTATTTAAAATAGAACTGCAAAGAATTGTATAAATAAAATAAAAGGTTTCCGGTCAATACCAGGTTCTCTACGTTTAAGTTATTAAGCTTATACAACTAAGTACATATAAATTATCTATAATTATCAATACTTTTAATAAAAAATGGATTAAGGGCCACGTTCGATCATTCAAACCAATATGTATGTATGTATGTATTTTACAATACTATATATGTATTTTACTTTCTTTTAACATATTTCAATAGAAAAATGATAATACTTATTAAATAGTAAACATTCAAGAATACAATACAAATGGTAGTACACATACATATATTTGTATAATAAATATTTTATACTATAATTTTATTATTTAGCTGTGTATGTAAATAAGTCTTTTTAATTTTTAAATCTATTTCATCCTCTTCTATTATTTTGTGACTTATTTATACTTAAATCGAAAACCTTCCTTTTAAAAAATTCACTATTAATCCCATTTTACTATGAATTTGTTTAACATATTATTTGTTTTTTCATTCGTTATTTAGCGCTTACGTATGTATATGCACGATAATTATATGTTAAATAAAATTAAAACAGTTGAAGTTTGATAATCTGAAAGATTCGGATTTTTATGACTTAAAACTGGCTAAAATTGACCTCATAAATGACAAGGTACCTTAAAAATGATCTAAAAGTGAAAAAATGTCTGGAAAAGTATGTTTTTATGTTTGGAAGAGAAATTTTCATTTAACGATACGAATTCTTTAAAAAGGGTTGAACTAAATATTTCGGAATTCAAAATACACCCCGATTCGCTTGAACAGGCGCATTCAAAAACCGTGATTCCATACTACATATGATCGAGATGGGAGTGTGCTGGTGTAAAACGTGATGTAGTGTTATGCAAATATTTAGGACAAATTCCAAGCATCGAAAATAATGAAACATTTTATGAAACAGCCACATTTAAATATCCCTCTCCGACCTTATCTCTTGAATACTTTAGAAAAACCGCACCGATTCGTACCACAGGAGCTTTAAAAACATGGATACCGAAACTAAGGTTTAATTTTCTGACTTTAATGTAAAACATTTAAGGACAGAAAAGGATTTTCATATTTATATAGTATGTATATTTAAAGTAAGAAAACGGAACACAATACCAATAGTGTTTAATAAGAAAATCGAGATTAACAGTTAATAATAACTTGTTTTGATTAAATCTTATTTTTTGCTCTTTTCAATGTATACATATACCTATTCAAATGAATAAACCGAATATGTAAATTTTTCGTTATTTTTAAGGTGTATGAAAAACAAACTACCCCAGATATTTTCCATTTTTTAACCACAGCCCTTTAAGGGCCGGTTACTCAATGTCTGGTTAACACTAATCACCGTTTAAACATCATTATCGACGTGTTCGGCTCCATGCATATAACATGGAGTCGGTAACGTCGATAACGATGTTTTACCGGAGATTAGTGTTAACCAGACATTGAGTAACCGGCCCTAAGAATAGATTTGTCTTCAAACTGGCAAAGAATTCAGCTTGGGGAAAAAAAAACAATGTGACCAACCGCCAAATAAAATAAAAATCCCTTCAAATTGCTAAAACTGGAAGAAAGAAATCCAAAAAGTTTAAAGCTTAAATCTAAAAAATTACCCTCATATTAAAATGGAAAAATAGTACCCACAATTTCTCATTTATTGGATCTGGGACCTAAGAATGGATTTTCTGTATACATACATATCTAGTAAATGCCTCCGAAGCCTTAAAAAAAGATGACATTGCATAAAAATCCGAGCCCTGTTTACAATACTCGGACGAATTATTTCGAACTTCTTAAACAAATGGTGTAGCTAAAGTATAACACTTAAAGTGTGACAAAACGTGGAAAATCGTCAAAATCATTATTTTATTTAAAATAAATATCCCGGAAAATAAAGCAAATTAGATTAGCTAGTTATGGTTCATAACTTTTCTCTACAAGAAGAGAAAGTTCTGAAAGTGTGTTCATCACTATTTTTGCTTATGTATAAATAAAAAGACCAACATTTTTTGACACTAAGGGCCAGCTGTTGTTTTATACTTACAGCCCTATTCGCGTGTTGTCACAGTAATCAAATGTCACAGTTCAATTGTCATTATCGTGTCATCAACTGTAGTCATAGGTATGCACAGTCAATAATGACAAGCGAAAAGCTCGTTTTATTTGGCCTTCGCGGCGAAAGTTTCTCTATAGTGAAACAGTTGTTCTTTGTTTACATTTTAATTGTTCTGTTTGACCCACACTGCAGCAGACGGAATTTCTTTTAAATAAAATACGCCGCACCAATAGATTACGAAACTCCGAAAAAGTGAGTAATTTTATAATAGGAAAATTTATTTTATTTTATTATGAATTCGTGTAGTAGCAGGCGTGAAAAATATGAATGCACCACACAAGAGCAGCTACAGTTTTGGGAATACCACCCCGAACTACAAACGTGTAAAAACTGTCAAAAAAAAACTGTTGTCTAGGAGTTCCCTCAGAAGTCTTCTCTGTATAATATCTTCTTGCTCCACAATAATAGCCGCGTACATAATAATTATTTCCTCCATGAATAATGCAATGGATACTATTATGATATGCATACGCAAATAATAACTTTTTAACACACCTGTTGAAGCAAATAAAATGGTTTCACAGTTTTCAATTAGTAAAATTTTGCAACTTTTTTCTGCAAAATTATTAAATTTGAATATATTAACATATGTTTTAGCGTTGTCACGTACTCAATAGGTCATCACAAAAATAATAGCAATTGTCACCGTTGGAGCTTTCAAATTGCCCTCTGCATACCTAAACGTGACAATTGATTATAAACATGACAATAGTGATAGCAGCGAGTTTTGTCATTGCACCCGAATAGGTCTGTTAGTTTAAATGCCCGAGCCGGCTGGTTTTAACCAAGTTTAGCCAATCAAATGTCAGCCAGCTGATCTAAATTTAAACTTGCACTGAAAAACTGTAGTTTGCTCAGAAAACAATTTCCTCGCTCCCTCTTGACAAAATCGGCTCCCTTAGCAAGGCCTTGTGTGTGAGTGCGTATGTGTGTGCAACCTTTCGTAAGGCAGTGCCAAAACTCGAATGCCACTAGTGAGCAAAACTTTTATTAATAAATCATGAATTTGCATTATTTTTGAAAACTGAGAATAACGTTTTAAATACACAAACGATTCTAAACTTACATACGAATAGGATGATTTCAATCAGTATTTATAAACCGCACTATAAGAAAAAGTCTAACTTGCGCAACCTGGTTGAAAACTAATATCTGACCGTGGTTGCGTACATTTGGCACCATCAGCGTAGCCAGAATGAAATTTACATTGACATTTCAGGGTACTATTTTATATATATATAAGGAAAACTTGAAAGTTAAGCTGCCAAAACTTGTTCAACGGCTCTTTCAAATAATTAACGGCATTAAGTACATATAATTTTCCCTTGAGTTACATCGCTTCTTTCAACTTAATTCGCTATTTAATTTAAATGCTCATTCCTGAAACTTATTTTAGTTCGTTTTTGTTACACATTGATTTGAAATGCCTCCCGTTGTAACTTCTGATTTCCCCGCATCCGTGGTGAAGTTTGTGTTTTTGATTTGTCGTTGATGTCTGAAAAACGCGCCGGGGGATTTATGTGATCCTGATAGTTTTGAGGATAGTTGGATATGCTGAATTGTAACAAAAGAAAAAAAATAATTTATGAAGAATACGAGTATAATTTCTTACCTAAATGTAGTTTCTTCGTTGTGACTCGAATAACCGCTGGAACTGCGAACATGACGTTTGCCACTGGTGCCAGACTTGCCGCCTTTACGTGCCACAAATGGCGGTTTCGATTTTCTCGTCAAACTTGTCGGCGTAGTCTCCGATGATGAAGATGTTTCGTCTTGCGTATCTATTTATTCAAATAGTAAATTTTTTTTTAAATAATATGCCAATGTTAGGGGCGTCCTTATTTTGATCTTGCGCATATGAAAGCTTGTACCTTTCGTTGTCAACTTTTTTCGAAAGGAGGATACAACGAAATTAATGTTAACATATTTTTAGCATTCCAAGTTTAATTTTGGCGAAAAATATTTAGTAACTTTATTGCTGCATGAAGTAAAGATTTTGATAACAGTTGTATGCCTTTTAGACGGGCTTCACGAACTTTATTGGACGACTTTTGCTTTAGATCATAATAAACTAGACATCTTTACATTTTTATTTGTTCCATCATATTTCAATCTTATTTTATTATAATTTTTTTACCAAAACTAATTGATATACGTGACTATTTAATTTTTCGATAATTTATACTCGAAGTATTGAGACTCAGTTGTTCGATCATACTAGCATTGAAAAACATGGAGCTCTTGGGCTAAAGCTTTGGTTTCCTCGAAAGCGGTAACGTAAACAGCGGTTCTAACTTTACATTGTCAAAAACGTTGCCATGTATACAGGGTGTCCCAGAAGTAACGTGCCAAACTTTTCCCTAAAGTAGGTGGGGGGGGGGGAACCATCATAAAATTAGGACTATTTTGGGATTTTTAACTTTTTGATATTTTCTTCCCCAACTTTGACTATCTCTGGTGAAAAAAAATGTACTGAGCTATAACTTTACATTACGAAAAAAAATTGTTCATTTAATAAAGATTTCAGAAAGGTGCCACTCTTAAGGCCCGTCCACATAGAACTTTGGCGTTGCGTTGGCGTTGACGTCACTTCAACAGCTGACTATGAATACATGCATTCAAATGCAGCCGTCCCCATAGCCAAAATTCGACAACGCTCACGCCAACACAAAGCAAAAAGATAGCCAACTCTCAACCTTTCGCGTGCGTCGCTCGTCAGCTGTTGCAAATAAATAAAATTATGTGAAATATTTTTCCTTTTTAATCAAGTGCGGGCAAGAAATATCGTTTTTAATGCAATTCTTGATATGAAATATTAATTTATCTATCGTTAGTATGTTAATTTAGTGGCCCAAGCATTCGCTGCCAAGCGTTCTTTGTAGCAAGCATACTTTTAACGTGCGTTCTGTCAAACCAACGCCAACGCCAAAGCCAAACTCGGTTAAAACAATAAATAGCACATCCCAAAATATAAAACAGAAAATAGAAAAAACCAAACTAATCTTCCTCCTAAAAATGCTGAACATATTTAGAAACAACACAAGCAAACATGAATATTAGAGCAGCAAAAAATAGTTTGCACCACACAGAAATCTAAACTAAAGCGCACACTAAGTGAATCGGAGTTTATCAAGTTCATACAAAAACAAAACCTTTTATGTCATAAGATCGCGAAGGAGAAAGAATCAACTCTCACCTCTAAAATTGAGAAAATAAAACAGGAAAAAATACGAAAACTGGGCAAAAACATCAACGACAACTGGTTCGTAAACAAAACCAGCATCGTCTTTCCCCAGGAGGTGAAGTGGCTCCTCTCATTAGGAAAGAAATTCACGCTGCCAACAACAAAATCCAACTTCTCGGCAGTTCACACGATTGCAGAAATGGAGCAAGTGATTTAGACGATAAGTAATGATAGAGAAAAAGAATTAGCGAGAAATAAACTAAGCAATATAATTTTACAATTCAAACGCAATATAAAAAATAATGTAGCCGAAAAGTTCATTTTAGAAGCATACAAAAAAAACAAAAACATTCCTCCAAGCACACACTAACAACATCACCATAACAGAGGCAGACAAGGGGAATAAAACAGTGGCAATGTACAAAACAGAATACGTAGAAAAAATAGAAAACCTACTAGGAGAGAAGAACACGTACAAAACAATACTAGCAGATCCCACAAATACTTTGCAAAGAAAAAATAACAACATAGTGGATGACTTATACAAATGCAAATACATAAACGCAAAAGAAAAGCGACATCTTACCAGCATTGCAGCAACGGCTCCCAGACTTTATGGGTTGCCAAAAATCCATAAGCCAGAAATCCCTCTACGTCCTATTGCCTCGTCCTGTAAAGTCCCATGTTCAAACTTGTCTAAATATGTTGGAGAAATCCTAAAGCCACTCATCTCCGAAGACTACAATATAAAAAATTCGTTTGAATTAAAAAATAAGCTGTCCGATGTAAATGTATGTGAAGAAGATGCACTTGTTTCGTTTGATGTCGTATCTCTGTTTACAAATATACCAACAGCCTTAGCTTCAAGAATAATTATGAGAAAATAGGCAAAAATAGAAAATATGACGATGATTCCTAAGAACAAGTTCCTAAGTATTCAAGACTTATGTCTCAAGGACAACAATTACTTCGTCTGTAACAATAAATTCTATTCTCAAACCTTCGGAATGCCAATGGGCAACCCTTTCTCCCACTATTTCTGATATTGTCATGGAAGAATTACTTGACAATACCATTTCGGAGCTAAAACACTCAAACATCGATATTAAATTTATATCCAAATATGTAGACGATATCTTTGCTATAGTTAAACGAAAAGACGTGAATATAATCTTAAAAACCCTTAACAAATACCACCACAAACTCCAATTCACCATGGAAATGGAATATAAGGCCAGCATCCTCTTTCTTGACGTTCACATCTACAGGGAAAGAAATAATCTCCTACTGGACTGGTACTCAAAACCGTCGTCTTCGGGTCGTCTGATTAATTTGTTATCTTCACAACCTACAAAATACAAAATCAATACTTCTAAAAATTTAATACACAAAGTACTCACATTAGTGGCAGGAAATTTCACGACATAAACATACAAAAACTCAAAAAGATCCTAAAAAGTAATAGCTACCCAGAAAAGTTAACACGCGACTTAATAAAACAAAAAACTACAGAAATAAAGGGCTACCTTAATAAAACGTCGAATAAAGTAACAACAAACACCACAAATCTATATTTCAGTGTTACTTACATTCCGCAGTTGTCCGAAAACTTAAACCAACACATTGCTAAACAACAGAACATAACGCTAGCATAGAAATGCAATTGCACTTTATCCACAATATTTACAAAAACAAAATCCCCTATAGAATTCAAACAACAAAACAATGTGGTTTATGAAATAAAGTGCAATGGTAACGAAGCCGAAAACTGCGACAAAGTGTACATCGGAACAACCAAGCGAGCTCTGGGTACTCGTCTAAGCGAACACGAAGCAGACATAAAAAAAAAAAACAAAGAAACAGCACAGCGCTAGCGCAGCATATTAATACCAGTGGCCATACAGCCGATTTGGCGAACGCAAGAATACTTGCTGTAGAGAAAAGAACAAAAACAAGATTCACATTAGAAAGCTTAAGAATAATGCAGAAAATGGACAATGCAATGAACAAGAAAGAGGATACTGATGACATCGCTGCAGTTTATTTATCTTATCTTACTCTTACTAATATTATAAATGTGAAAGTTTGTATGTTTGGATGTTTGA